ATGATGATGATGATGATGATGATGGTGATGATGATGATGATGATGACGATGATGATGATGATGATGATGATGATGATGGCGTCGATTGTGAGATCGATTGGGAGTTCGATTGTGATATCGATAGTGAGATCGACTGTGAGATCGATAATGAGATCGATTGTGAGATCGATAGTGAGACCGAATGTGAAACCGAATGTGAGATCGATAGTGAGATCGATTGTGAGATCGATAGTGAGATCGATAGTGAGACCGAATGTGAGACCGAATGTGAGATCGACTGTGAGATCGATTGTGAGATCGATTGTGAGATCGACAGTGAGACCGAATGTGAGACCGAATGTGAGATCGATTGTGAGATACATTGTGAGATCGGTAGTGAGATCGATAGCGAGATCGATAGTGATATCGATAATGAGATCGAATGTGAGATCGATAGCGAGATCGATTGAGTGAGACGTTGGTTCCCCCTCCCCCCTCACCTCCTTATCACCCGCAGGGTGGTCGTATAGGTATTATTGCTATCCAGTTGAGGAAAAAACTTACGCAACACGTGCCCCTCCCCCGCAACTCAAAGCTGTGGCACGTATGCGCATCACTGGTCCGACACGCAAGCTCGGGGGATCCGAGCCCAACATTGCATTCGGGGGGAGGGGGGACGAAATCACACCACATGTCACGCGCCATTGCTGCTTAATTGTTTCCGACACCTGTCGCTCGGACGTCCATTCCCCGTGCACTGTTTCGTTTCGTGCGTGCCTCCCTCTTCGAGATGGCCTGAGGTGCTCCAAAAAATGGTCCGGGCGCGCTGGCCTCGCCGAGGAAGAGGCACGCGCCCGAGCGGTGCCAAGCTTTCGGCCACTCCAGCCCCATGTTGCCGCCGCCCCAGACCACAATAATCCCACCAGCCCTCTGGGCGCAGGTGGTCTAGGGCGTTTCCCTTTCCAACCTCCTGCCTTTCCCTGCTCGGGAGGTTTACCTCCCCCCCCCTCCCTGCGTTTGGACGGGGGGGGACGGACCCATAGCAGCGTCCAAGATGGCCCAAGATGGCTCCAAGAGGGCCTCCGAGAGCGCAAGATGGCCTCCAAGATGGCCCAAGATAGCGGTAGACGGGTCAAGATAGCCTCCGACACGCGTCCAGGAGGCCTCAAGACGGCCCCAAGACGGTTTCAAGTGCCCTCCGAGGCCTCCAAGGACCCCCCCAAGAGGCAAACATCTTTCAAACACCTAAGGAATATCAATGCTTTTTGCCTCGCTTTTTCGCCTCCGAAGGGCTCTTGAGGCCTCAAGATGGCCCCAAGATGGCCCAAGACAGCCCCAAGAGGGGCCCAAGACAGCCCCGAGACGGCCCCAAGAGCGCCCAAGAGCGCTCCAAGAGCGGGCCAAGAGGGTCCCAAGACGGCATTTTTGAGCCTCCGAGGGGGGGACAAGAATTGAGGGCCCCCCCCCCTTCTTTAGCCATAAAGACCAAGACGGCCCCGAGAGGCCCCTCAGGCATCCCAAAAGAGCCCCAAGAAGGCCCCCAGACCCCCCCAAAGAGCCCCAAGAGGGTCCCAAGACGCCCCAAAAGAGCCCCAAGAAGCCCCAAGAAGGCCCTAAGAGAACCTCAGGAGAGCCCAAAGAAAGAGCCCCAGGAGGCCCCAAGAGGGGCCCAAGAGAATCCCAAGAGAGCCCCAAGATGCCTCCAAGTTTCGGAACGCACGCGAGTTTAAGACACAAATCGGTGCAACAGCCATTACGAGTCATCGAAACACCCCTCACCCCTCATCGAAGCACCATCGTAGCTTGCACTGATTCCCATCTTAAATTTCAATGCGGGAAGCTATTTGTGATCCTTGTTTTCTCGAAGACGGCTGCGCGATTGCATGCGTCCTGCAGCCCCTGATTCACCAACTCCCCTGCTGATCGTTTCTGGATGGGCTGGTGGGGATACTTTCTTCTTCTTTTTTACAGCCGCAGGCGGAAGCACCAGCGGCGGGAGGTGCTGGTGGGGATACGCGAAGCGTCAAGAATTTCAAGTCAGCCAGCCTTCAGCCTCAAGAGGCCCCCAGGAGGCCCCACGAGGCCCCCAAGAGGCCCCAAGGGGCCCCCAAGAGGCACCCCAGGAAGCCCCAAGACGCCCCCAAGAGGCCTCAAGAGGCCCCAGCACTGCTCCCAAGAAGCCTCAAAACTGCCTCCCAAAAGGCCCCTGAGAGGCCAACCACGAGAGCCCAACCAACACCCGTGAATCCTCTGACCCGCCACCCACCGCCTCCGAAAAATAACAGCCGCCCGACCGCACCGCATTGACAACAACACCCCGACAAACGACAGCGGCGAGGCAATATGGGCCGGCGGGATGAGCGAAGCGATTAATTTCAGATTAACTCGTACCCAGGATGGCCACGATAGCCCAAGATGGCCCCGAACGCGGCCCATCGCCCCTCCGAATGTTACCCCTTATGGGCGACTCTAAAGAGGCAGGGTGCGGCGGGGATTCGCTGGAGGCGTCTCCGATCCGACGCCCCAGTATCCTGCGGAGGGGTACTCAGCGTGCCACGTCCAAAGGGTTCCCCGTGTGGGGGAAGAAGGAGGAGAAGGAGGAGGAGGAGGATGAGGAGGAGGAGGAGGAGGAGGAGGAAGAAGAGGAGAAGGGGAGGAGGAGGAGGAGGAGGAGGAGGAGGAGGAGGAGGAGGAGGAGGAGAGGGAGGAGGAGGAGGGAGGAGGAGGAGGAGGAGGGAGGAGGAGGAGGAGGAGGAGGAGAGAGGAGGAGGAGGAGAGGAGGAGGAGGAGGAGGAGGGGAGGGGAGGAGGAGGAGGAGGAGGAGGAGGAGGAGGAGGAGGGGGAAGGCCTTCGGCGCACACCGCCTCTCGCCTTAGCGCCGCGCACATTCGTCCCAGAAGACTGCAGCAGCTTCAGGGATGAAGGGCGGCTCCTTCTCAAGATGTGGCTCTCGCCGCAGCGCCGCGCACATTCGCCTTACAGGTTTGCAGTCGATTCAAAGATGGAGGGCGGGTCCTCTTCAGAAGGTGACCCTCGCCTTAGCGCCGCGCACATCAGTTTTCAAAGTCTGCAGCCGCTTCAAGGATGGAGGGCGGGTCATCTTCAGAAGGTGGCTCTCCCCTTGGCGCCGCGAGCATTCGTTTCCAGAATGTACACCAGTTCCGAGGATTCGTAGGGTCGAAGTCCCAGGAATAGTCTTCTGGCACGGTTTGGGATTCTCAAGGAGCAACCATCACGTTGATTCGCAGCGTTGAAGTCCCGGGAGTGGGTTTCTGGCACGACTCAGGATTGTCAAGACGCAGCTATCACGTTGGTAATTTCCGCAATGGAGATACATTCTTGTAGGGGCCTGCAGCTGCCATCTGAAACTTCAAAGGGGCCGTGGACTTGACAAAAGGGCATCAACCCCTCCTTCCCCCGTATAATCCTATCAAGACGAGCCGTTACGGGCCCCTGCCATTGGCAGGATGGTTAGACCCTGGGATCTGGGCGTCTGTACTAATCCCACCAGCCCTCTGGGCGTAGGTGGTCTAGAACAGATCCTCTTCCACCCCTCCCTCTTCCCCCTTGGGGAGGGGTTTACCCCTCCCCCTACCCCCTCCCCTGGACCTGGACGGGGGGGGCCGCTGGTAGTTAGAGCGTCCCAGATGGCCCAAGACGGCTCCAAGAGCGCCTCAGAGAACCCAAGATGAGCTCCAAGATGGCTCAAGATAGCGCAAGATCGCTCGAGATGGCTCCTAAGATGGTTCCAAGAAGCCCAAAGACGGCCCCAAGATAACTCCAAGTGGCCAAACAGCTCCCCAAGGAGGCCCCGAAGAGGCCAAAATCGTCCCAAAACCTAAGGAAAATCAATGATTTTTGCTTTCTCGCCTTTTCGCTTCCGATGGCCATCCGAGGCCTGGAGATGGCTCCAAGATGGCCCAAGAGGGCCCCAAGAGAGCCCCAAAAGAGCCCCAAGACGGCCCCAAGAGCGCCCAAGAGCACTCCAAGAGCGTTCCAAGAGGGGTCCAAGAGGCGATTTTAGGGGCTTCCGAGGGGGGGCGCTAATTCAACCCCCCCTCTTGTTTGATCGATCTCCTCCAAGATGGCCCCAAGAAGCGCCCAGGAAGCCCCAAGAGGTCCCAAGATGGCCCCAAAATGGCCCCAAGAGGCCCCCAAGAGGCCCCCCGGAGGCCCCCAAGAGACCCCCAAGAGGCCCCAAGAGCCCCCCCAGATGCACCCAAGATGCTCCAAGAGGCCTCGGCGAGAATGCCTAATCATTGATTCTACACAGGTTTTAGCCACATGGAGGCCTCTTGGGGGGGGGCACGGATTAAGATGACTCCAAGAGCGTCTGGGAGAGCCCAAAATGACCTCCAAGATGGCTCAAGATATCCCAAGATGTCTCATAATGGCTTCCTCTGTGTGCTGCCCACTTCTCTGATCGAGGCAATTCCTCTGGGCATCGTTTCTGGATGGGCTGGTGGGGATTCGCGAAGCGACAACAATTTATTTTAGGTCCAAGACCGAACTTATCCCAGTGGTTGTTTACGTAATAAGGATCCCAGCGTCTCCCAGATCACAGTCTCCATCATCCCATTGGTTTTCACATTCGAAACACTTACCCAAAGCCATTCCCGACTTCGGCATCATGTGTTTTCGTTTCTTCGCATTTCCGACGACACTTTCCCCCGCCGAAGTATGAAGAGGGAACGAAGAGGGAGGGTTCATTGCAACATCGCTGATGCGTCTTGGCAGGGAGCGGCAGTGGTTCGCCATTTGGCGTCTTCGATCCGCCGCCCCCTGTGGTTGCCACAGGGGTGCATGGCGTTTTTAGCATTTCTCAGAAGGGTTCCTTCAATCCCTTCGGCCAACCGCGCCGTTCCCCCCCCCCCCGCATCAAGCCGGGAAAACCAAGAACGCTCGCCTGCAAGATGGCCACGATGCCTCAACACAGCCAGCAAGAAGGCCCAAGGTGGCCACTGAGTGCCTCCAAGATGGCTCAACATGCCTCCAAGACGGGCCAAGAGGGCTCGAATAGTGTCCAAGGGGCCTCCAAGACGGCCCAAGAGGGCTCCAAGAGGAGCCCAGGAGAGCCTCAAGGGACTACAATTACTGATATTCGCTTGGTCTTTGAACGTGTTTCGGATTCTCGCCTTCTTGGTCTCAAGACCTTCCCAAACGGCACACGAAGTCTCCAACACGGCTCGAACGAAACCCAAGAGGACCCCCAGATAGCCCCAAGACAGCCCCAAGAGGGCCCCCAAGACGGACCCAAAGAGACCCCCAAGAGGTCTCCACTACGGCCCGAAAGGGACCCCCAAGACGAGCTTCCAAGGCGGCCGACTGCCCGAGAGGGCCCACAAAGGTGGCCCAACTGAGCCCTCGGAGGCCCGCGAGAAACCCCCATGGAGGGCCCCAAGCTGGCCCTGTGCGGGCCCCTCCCCTGTATTTCCCCAGGGGGGGGTCCCCAACGGCTCGGGGAACACGCAGGTCCCTCAGCATGGCCGCACTCTCGCTCGACAGTTCACGACGCGGGCGTTCTCAAGAGGCAAGCGGCAACGGTGACTCGCCGCAGCCGCCTTCGATACAAACAGCGACATCGCCGTATCCGCATCGGGCCGGGAGAAACTCCGAAACTTGCAACACACCGAGCGCCTGATAGGCAATGAAGCCGATGATGAAGAACACCTGACTGCATGCGCAGGCCCCACCCACATCTCCCCTCTGCCGCCTCCTCCTCCTCCTCCTCCTCCTCCTCCTCCTCCTCCTCCTCCTCCTCCTCCCGCCTGCCTCCTCATCCTCTGCTGCCTCCCAACATCGTGTTTCTGCTCCCGTGCGTTCGAGAAGCAACCGTTCTCGCGTGCATCTCGTGAAAGGAGGATGGACATAGCGCAAACTTGGCGTCAACTGCGGGCCCCCGCCTGAGTGGGACACACAGGCTTCATAGGTGTGAAAGCATGCAGATGCCATTACACTGACGCTCACCCTGACACTACCTGCCGTACACGAAAGTTTTCACGAATATGGTAATCGGACCCTGCTGCGACGACGGCGACGTGTCTTGCGATATGCCAGCGTCGGGGCCGCGATCGCAAATCCACCCCCGAAGAGGAATCGGCGTCGTGTTTCCCATGTCTCAACCTCTTAATCGACCGATCGCCCGCAGGGTATCCGACGTCGCACCCAGGAAAAATTCGACGAATGTGACTATCCCGCCCTGTCTACCGATGCACCGGAGCGGGCCGTCCCCATGATGGTGATGATTTTCCAGCGCGGGCTTGATTTTTTCTGGTGCGCCAGAAAAGGCCACAATGCCCCCAATGTAAGAATTAATATGCTCGAATGGCATTATATGGCCTCTCTACGGGCTGGGCATGAAGATGTTCCCGTTCACCGGAACGGCCCATCCGTGTGAAAAAACAATGTGTTCGACGCATTCCTGTGCGAACCAGATTGTTTCCAGTTCGCCGGAAAATCCCAGAGTGTCCCACGCGTGTGGATTTACATACTCCGGTGGCATTTTCCGGTTTGTACACCGTTTGGCGAGTATATTGATATCAAGGGACCGGAACATGGCCCCCCTACCCCTGCCGTTGGGCCCACCCGCGCAAATGGCGTGCAGCATAACATTGTACGGGGGCCCCTTGCGCCTAACGGGGAGGGGGGGGATCTACATAGACCCGCTCACACGTGATGCTCCCGCATCCTGGAACTGATGATACTGATGACGATCCTGATGAGAAAGATCCACGCAGATGAAGATTTTCGCGCAACTGTCGAAACGGTCAGTATTCGAACCCATACGCAACACAATGTGTGCTGGGTGACGGCCCTACGGAGGTCAAGAAAACCGTTGTAAATCCAAGGGCCACTGCCGCAGAGAGAGGGAGAGAGATGCGATCCTGGATAGAAGCTGCTGGCTGAGGTGTCATCGAAGGAAACCATGGTCATTCATGGTCATTCATGTGTACGCATCGGCCGTCTTAGCGCAAGTCATCGCAACGCATGGTCATTTATGTGTACGCATGGTCATTCATGTGTACGCATTGCAACGCATGGCCATTCATGTGTACGGTGCGCATGGTTAGTGCAAGTTCATGTGTACGTCATCGCAACGCATGGTCACTCGTGTGTACGCATCGGCCGTCCGAGTGCAAGCGGCAAACTGCCCTGGCGATGCTTCGTCTGGTCTCCGAGATCGAAGTGACTGAATCGTTACTGGTTTTAAACTTTGGAGTTCCCAACCATCCTGTGGTGTTGGGTCTTCGTTTTGAAGAGACAGCGCCCCGCGTCCCACCTTCCTTCCTCCTCCTCCCCCTCGTCCCTCCTCCCCCTCCTTGCCTCTGCTCTCGGCACACCTCTCACACGTTTCGTAGCCCCGTAGGGAGCTCCACCGAAGGTCCCAGTGGCACAGCCCGCATGCGGTTCCCCCACCCAGGGCAGCGTTTCGTAGCCCCATAGGGAGCTCCACCGAAGGTCCCAGAGGCACAGCCCGCATGCGGTTCCCCCACCCAGGGCAGCGTTTCGTGGCCCCATAGGGAGCTCCACCGAAGGTCCCCGTGGCACAGCCCGCATGCGGTTCCCCCACCCAGGGCAGAGTTTCGTGGCCCCATAAGGAGCTCCACCGAAGGTCCCAGTGGCACAGCCCGCATGCGGTTCCCCCACCCAGGGCAGCGTTTCGTGGCCCCATAGGGAGCTCCACCGAAGGCCCCAGTGGGGGTGTTCGCATGCGGTTCCCCCACCCAGGGCAGCGTTTCGTGGCCCCATAGGGAGCTCCACCGAAGGCCCCAGTGGGGGGCCCGCATGCGGTTCCCCCACCCAGGGCAGCGTTTCGTGGCCCCCTGCGTTCCCCCACCCAGGGCAGCGTTTCGTGGCCCCATAGGGAGCTCCACCGAAGGCCCCAGTGGCACAGCCCGCATGCGGTTCCCCCACCCAGGGCAGCGTTTCGTAGCCCCATAGGGAGCTCCACCGAAGGTCCCAGTGGCACAGCCGCATGCGGTTCCCCCACCCAGGGCAGCGTTTCGTAGCCCCATAGGGAGCTCCACCGAAGGCCCCAGTGGCACAGCCCGCATGCGGTTCCCCCACCCAGGGCAGCGTTTCGTAGCCCCATAGGGAGCTCCACCGAAGGTCCCAGTGGCAAAGCCCGCATGCGGTTCCCCTACCCAGGGAACGTTTCGTGACCCCATAGGGAGCTCCACCGAAGGTCTCAGTGGCACAGCCCGCATGCGGTTCACCCGCTCAGGGCAGCGCTTCGTAGCCCCATAGGGAGCTCCACCGAAGGTCCCAGTGGCACAGCCCGCATGCGGTTCCCCCACCCAGGGCAGCGTTTCGTGACCCCATAGGAAGCTCCACCGAAGGTCCCAGTGGCACAGCCCGCATGCGGTCCCCCACCCAGGGCAGAGTTTCGTGGCCCCATAGGGAGCTCCACCGAAGGTCCCAGTGGCACAGCCCGCATGCGGTTCCCCCACCCAGGGCAGCGTTTCGTGGCCCCCTGGGGAGCTCCACCGAAGGTCCCAGTGGCACAGCCCGCATGCGGTTCCCCCACCCATGGCAGCGTTTCGTAGCCCCATAGGGAGCTCCACCGAAGGTCCCAGTGGCACAGCCCGCATGCGGTTCCCCTACCCAGGGCAGCGCTTCGTGGCCCCGTAGGGAGCTCCACCGAAGGTCCCAGTGGCACAGCCCGCATGCGGTCCCCCCGCCCAGGGCATTGTTTCGTACCCCCATAGGGAGCTCCACCGAAGGTCGCAGTGGCACAGCCCGCATGCGGTTCCCCCACCCAGGGCAGCGTTTCGTGGCCCCATAGAAAGCTCCACCGAAGGTCACAGTGGCACAGCCCGCATGCGGTTCCCCCACCTAGGGCAGCGTTTCGCAGCCCCATAGGGAGCTCCACCGAAGGTCCCAGTGGCACGGCCCGCATGCGGTTCCCTCACCCAGGGCAGCGTTTCGTACCCCCATAGGGAGCTCCACCGAAGGTCCCAGTGGCGCAGTTCGCATGCGTCCCCCCCCCCCCCCACCCAGGGCAGCGCTTCGTGGCCCCATAGGTAGCTCCCCCGAAGGTCCCAGTGGCGCAGTTCGCATGCGTCCCCCCTACCCACTACAGCGTTTCGTGGCCCCATAGGGAGCTCCACCGAAGGTCCCAGTGGCGCAGTTCGCATGCGTCCCCCCACCCAGGGCAGCGCTTCGTGGCCCCATAGGGAGCTCCACCGAAGGTCCCAGTGGCGCAGTTCGCATGCGTCCCCCCCCCACCCAGTACAGCGTTGCGTGGCCCCATACGGAGCTCCCCCGAATGCGATACCCACAACTGCATCTGGTTGGGTCCTTCGCCAGGCTAATTCAAAAAACTGTTTTTTGAATTCAAACAACTGGTTTTCTGAATTCACAAACTGGTATTTTGAATTCGAAAGCCAAGGTCAGCTTGCTCGAGGTCGTCTGGCCTCTACGATCGAAGTGACTGACTTGTTCTTGGGTCAACTTGCTCGAGGCGAGCAACTGTAAAACGCAATACTCGATGCATGTCGTCTTTATGTCAGGAGGCCTTTTATGGGTCAGCTACGATGGGGTCTGGTTGAGACGGAATTCACTCTGGCCCCCCAACTCCCTCCGATTCACTCTCGCCTCCTCGTCCTGTTCAGACTACGCTCACTCTCCCGCGATGCAAGTGAGACAGTAAAAAGAAGAAAGCCCAACAAGATGCTCCCCGTGGCGTCCCTCCATCATCGGAGGGGGATGCTGCGGCCGAAGACTGCCCTGGAAGAGGGGCCCTTGCCTGCAAGCAGCATGGCGAGAGACTTGGTCGCCCCCTCGTTCCTTGGGTGCTTCTCGCACCGTTCCTTCAGGTACCGAGACCGGGAAGTCCCAAAAGCAGCGCATTGTCGACACCAAACAACCCTCCCCGAAGGCCCCGAACCGATCCAGAGCACGAGGGAGGGGTGAGCTGTCGCCGCTAACTCGGGGATCCCTGGGCAAGGGAACGCAGCCACGGCTCCTCTGGACCTGGCCCGTTCCCCGCAGATCTCACAAACAAACGCTTTGCCATCCCTACGGATCTTATGCCCGTTGGGGTCAGGAACTAATTCCAACTGGGGGATCTCTGGCGAGGGTCGGGTGGGTTTGGCCTTGCAACGCTCCACATCTTTCAGCCCCCCCCCGCGACACCTCCCCCAGCATTAGGCCGAGAAACTTCCCTACCAGGGCCACCCCTTTGCTAGCCATGCTGTGCCAGCTCTGGAGGGCTTCCGGGTGGTCCTGCATTCCACTGCCATCTCGCGCCAGCTGGTCGGCTCGGCGATTCCCGACCCAAGCATAATATGCATATCCCTGGGCGAGGGCCTGGTTCCAGGAGAGGTGAGCCTTTATCTTGAGCAGAGATATATTCCCGAATCCTACATCGCGAGCTTTGGTCACCTCCTGCCCCCCTTCCCCCTCTTCCCCCTCATTCTCTTCCTCCTTCTCTTCCTCCTTCTCTTCCTCCTCCTCCTCCTCCTCCTCCCTTTCTCATCTTCCTCATGTACCTCTTTGCACTCGCCGACCCAGCACGCCACCGACAACGCGCTGGATCCTCGAGTCAGGCACACAAGCAGTATGCTGCCTGACCGTTCTGGCACGTGACGGCACTGATCGGTAATACAATGTGATCCTCTTCCTCCTGGCACGCCCGCAGTGGGTATGGGGGAAAAAGATAGCAGGGTGCACATCAGCGCATGCTGTCCGAGACCGGCAGCGACCGCTGCTGGGCAGGCGACCGTCGCTTTAAAATGGCACGGACAGCGTCCGCGGCGAGGTCGACAGGGACAGTCCTGTTGAAATCGGGCAAGAAATGAGGTCGGTTTTTGTCCCCATTCTTTAGAGGAGAAGAAAACGGCATAAACACAAACTTTTGGCGCTCCGCGCGGATTTGTTTGATCTGCTCCGGACCCCCCTCCCAGGCACGCGGAGCGCGCCAGGTATGGCGCCGGAGGCGCCGCCGGGAGGGCCCGGCGCGGATGCAAGGAGTCCGCGCGGAGTGCCAAAAAGCAAGTTTGTGCTGCTTTTTCTTCTTCGACTCTTTCCGCCCTCCTCCCCTCGCTCCTCCTCGCTGGTACCCTCACCCTTGATGGGCCTGTTTTCCACCACCACCACCATAAGTTGGAGGGGGGAAGGAGGTGGAGCACGAGGAGGAGGAGGAGGACGAAGAGGAGGAAGAGGAGGAGGGGGATGAGGAGGAGGACCCCCCCTCCAACTTATGGTGGTGGTGGTGGAGAACACGCCCATCAGCCCTGCTGCCGTGGTGCTGCGCAGCCGGGGCGCTATGGACGGCAGGAAGATGGCCAGCGTCCACGAGTCGGTCGCCTTGAGCACGTACCCAGCGAACGCGTTGCTGCCCACTCCGGCCAGGGCCCCCTGGTGCCAGGGCGGCGGCAGGGAGGAAGAGGAGGAGATGGAGGAGGAGGAGGAGGAGGAGGAGGAGGACGAAGAGAAGGAGGAGGAGGAGGACGAGGAGGACGAAAACGAGGAGGAGGAGGAGGAGGAGAAGGAGGAGGGGGAGGAGGAGGAGGTGGAGGAGGACGACGAGGAGGAGAGCGAGGAGGACGAAAACGAGGAGGAGGAAGAGGAGGAGGAGGAGAAGGAGGAGGACGAGGAGGAGGCGGAGGAGGAGGAGGACGATGAGGAGGAGGGGGCTCTGCGCGCGCCATTCCTTAAGAGAGTGGCGGGTCTGTCGGTCAAACGGATAAGCATCAGCACCATCATAATCATCAGCAGCAGCAGCATCATCATCGCCACCACCACCATCATCGTGACCCTCGTTCACATATCGGAGGCTGCGAGGAGGGATGAGGCTGGAGGAATATGGTAGAGTAGTGATATCACCATCTGCACAGCAAGATTCCCTGTGCAGTGAGAAACCTCTCTCGCGATGCTTGCCTCTGCTGCCCCTTCCACCCTATTCCATGCCACTCCATGCAAAACGCTTTGACATACTTTTCATCCCAACCCTCGCCTGTCATCCGTTCCACTCCGTTCCATGCGAAGCCAACCCTGCCGTCCTCCGCGCCCGCACATGCCTTGTTGCTAGCATTACATCAACGAGCTGGCCCACTTCAATACCAAACATAGGCTCGCACACCACCCGCTCATCCGTCCTCTCATTCATCCCATCCCTGTACGAGGCCCCCTAAGGGAGGTCCATGGTGGTGGATATTCCGCTGATTATGCCAGTGTACTTCTTGCTAAGGTCGGCGTGGCTGGCATAGAGCCCGGAGTACGAGAAGGCCCCGAAAGCGACCTCCGAGGCACCCCTATACACCCTACCCGCTGGCCAGCCAAGCAGGAGGAGTGAGGATCCTCACCAGGCAATGACAGGGGCGTGGACCCTCAAGAATTGCTCTGCAATCTATGAGGTGCACCCCATGCGGTGCACCACATGCAATTCAACATCTGCGATGGGACCCGTTGGGGTGGGACCCGGTGGGTTGAGGGGCCCTGCAGGTGGAACCGTATGGGGTGGGGGACCCTATTTATGGGGCGGGGCACTCGTGGCCAAGGACCGCTGGGACGTCTGAAATATCAACGCCGCTCGGCAAATCATTCCTCTGATTGGGGGGAAAGGGGAGTCCCTTCGCGGACCCTACCATGTGGCGAACTCGACGCCCTGCTAACCTACTACGTACCTGGCTACGAGTATGGACATCCTCGAGGGACACTGAGTCCCAACGAGAATCTCAACAACAAAAAGAGAGATCCTGCCAACTGATCCCACTGAGCACAGTGAAGCCACGTGCAAGGGACAGTATCATCTGATCGCACATCGGGAAACGAACTTTGCGGACCCTATCCTCTGATCGCAAATGCCATCAAGTGAGTTCAGCGGGGACCTGACCAGGCCATCGCAAGTACAAAAGGCACTCGGGGGCGCTGCCATCGGATCGCACGTGGGAATTCTGAAAGGTGCCTTTTCACCCGATCGGAAATAACACGTGGCACTCGTGCCCTGGCTCTTGCACGCTAGCGAGGGGGCCGGGGTCAAGCCAGGAAGGCCAGCGGGGGTCCGCGGCCCAGGTCGGGGCGGCCAGCGTGGCCAGAGGGGAGACGACGAACCACGACCACGACGCAAGTAGAGGTCCCCGCAGCACAGGTGGGTGAGACCAAGAAGGCCAGGGGTGACTTCCCCGGCCTCGAAGGCCTGAAGCACGGTGGGGGAGGCCATGGAGGCCAGGGACGCGGAGGCCATGGAGGCCAGGAAGAGGAGGACAAACTAGGGGGCGGGGTCGAGCATCGGTCCTCGATCCTCGATCCTCCTCGACCCTCGATCATCGAGGGTCGAGGATCGAGGATCGAGGATCGAGGATCGAGGATCGAGGATCGAAGATCAAGGATCGAGGGTCGAGGATCGATGATCGAGGATCGAGGATCGAGGATCGAGGATCGCGGATCGCGGATCGAGGGTCGAGGATCGAGGGTCGAGGAGAGGGGAGGCCAGTGGCGGGAGGGGAGGGCTCCTCCTCCTCCTCCTCCTCCTCCTCCTCCTCCTCCTCCTCCTCCTCGGGCACGGCCAGGAAGGCCAAGGGAGGCCAGGATGACGAAAAACCACAACCACGGCGAACAGAAAGGGCTCCGCGGCCTGAAGGGGATGAGGCCAGGCAGGCCAAGGGGCGGGCGCCGCGGCCCAGAGCGGGGAGGCAAGGGAGGCCGGGAATGGGGGGGCGGGACGAGCCACGACCACGACAAAGCTGAAGGATTCTGCGGCCCAAGGGGGATGAGGCCGAGAAGGCCAGAAGGGGAGGTCGGCAGGGCCAGGGGTATGGTGGAGGCCAGTTCACAAGAGACCTTCCACAAGCAACCCTGAGGCCCCATGACCTCCGCTGATGTTTGGTGTGGGAGCGTCGCGCTTTCCACTGCAAAACCATCGAAACCCAAGAAGCCCAGGGCACCCTGGAGGCAGGCCGGGTATTCCTTGGCATGGGCTTCCCCTGTAGGTCCCGCGGCCCAGGAGGAGGGAGGCCGGAGAGGCCCCGAGGGGAGGGCGCAACACGCGGCGCAGGAAGGAGGGCGCCGAGGAGACCAGGGCTGAACCTAAACGGTGTTTCTCGTTTTCGTTATGTTTCCCTCGTTTGGCCTTCAACCCACCTCTACCGCAAAACGAAGTCGAAACGAAAACGGCACACGAAATCGCAAAACAACCGTTTAGGTCCACATCTGGAGGAGGCTTCGGAGGGGGAGGAGGGACCACGGCCGCGACGAAAAGAAAGAGGTGCAGTCGGCCCGTATCACAATGATGCACGATGAGGGTGCAATGGCCTTGGACGCCCACTTCGGAGCTTCTCGAGTGGGGCACGGCCAACGAAAGTGGCCAAGGATGGGCCCGGGAGGCAAGGACGAAAGGGTAACCTTGGGAAGGTTGCCCTTCCTTACTGTGCGGGTTGACTGCACGAGCTCTAGAACAAAGCTGTGAGAGATGATGAAATCCTTAGCCGACCCCACCCCATCTGTTCGCAGATAGAGACATCACTGGGAGATGGTCGAATCCCAAGCGGGACCAATGCTTGGGAATATGCTCGCTCGCAATGCGTGGACGTCTTGGGGGATCCTGAATCCGATAACACACCAGACAATCCTTCGGGGAACCGATCGTCGGATCGAATTTGGAAGTCCCTAGGGGGGTCTGCCATCTGATCGCGGATAACAAGATCAGTCATGCGGACGGAATATCCAGATGCAAGACACTCAGAACGCGTCAATATCAACGACATCGCCAGGACCACCACACACCCGAATGATGTAAAGAGGCCCTCGCCAAGCGGCGCCCATGCCCCGTACCCGCCAAAACGTGCCCCATACAAATTACGCACACCGTCGAACATCCAACCGTGATTCCCCCCCACACGTATCTTCGTATAAATGTGTCAGGACCTCGTCGTGCCCACGGAAAGTCGGAAGACAATCCAAAAGACACCTGCCAAAACCACAATCCTTGCATTGGACGCTTCCGCGCGAGAACGCCGCTGCCGAAAAGGGGGCCTGCGCAGACAGAACACCTTTGCACCGCCAATCACTCCTCGGCACATCAGGGATGCACGGGGGGATCCTGGAAAACCCCCATGCCAAGATCGCTGGGCAAGAAAAGAGAAATCCAACACGGCCCCGATGCCCCCAGGCGGCCCCAGGAGCGGCCCCGAGGTCGGCCAAGAGGCCTCAGAACGCCACGAAGTCGGCCAAAGGACCATCGTGCCCGACGTTCCTCCTCTCTGCTGGCCCGTGCTGGCCGTCTCGTACACCGCGCCCACCTCCCGCCAGCGAGTCGACCCCTCCCCCCTTGCACCGTTCCCCGCAATCGCCTCCGCCTCCTTGCAGGTTTTCCCATCCACTGCCCGCGTCGTCCTCCCTCCTCCACCTCCTCCTCCTCCTCGTCCTCCTCCTCCTCCTCGTCCTCCTCCTCGTCCTCCTCCTCCTCCTCCTCCTCCTCCTCCTCCTCCTCCTCCTCCTCCTCCTCCCCTCCTCCCCAATCCCTTCACTCATGAAATATCTCCTCCCTGTCGCACCCCGAGACGTGTCGGTAGGGCGGGCCGGGCGTTTCGCCTGAGACTTCCTCACCAATGATGATCCTGAAGCTTAGAACTGGCAGGAGCTTCACGGATGGAAGGCGGGTGGTTTTCAAAATGTCGCTCTCGCCGTAACGCCGCGACCATTCGTCTTACAAGTATGCAAGAGCTTCACGCATGGAGGGCAGGTGGTTTTCAAAGTGTGGTTCTCGCCCGAGCGCCGCCCACATTCGTCTAAAAAGTTCGCAGGGATTTCACAGGTGGAAGGCAGGTCGTTTTCAAAATGTGGTTCTCGCCCCAGCGCCGCGCGCATTCGTCGTATTCGCAGGAGCTTCACGGATTGACGGCGGCTCGTTTTCAAAATGTGGTTACCGCCTTCGCGCCGCGCATAGTCGTCTTCAACATTTGCAGGAACTCCTTGGCTGGAGGGTGATTCTTAGCACCGCGCACACTGGTTTTAAAAATTCGCAAGATCTTCACGGATGGAGGGCGGGTGGTTCTCAGAATGTTGCTCTCGCCTTAGCGCAGCGCACATCCGTCTTAGAACTTCGCAAAAGTCACGGGTGGAAATCAGCTCTTTTTCACAATGTGGAACTCGCTTGAGCGCCGCGCACATTCGATGTAGAAGTTTAGAACACTTTGGCGGGTTCTTCGGTTTGGCTTTCCCAGGAATGCTTTTCTGGTGCGAGTTAGGATAGTTAGGGCGCAGCAGCCAGTGTTGAAGTCCCAAAAGTGCTGTTCTGGCACGACTGAGGATCGCCAGTATTCAACAGTGAAGTTGATTCGCAAGGTGTCTTGGCACGATTGAAGATTCTCAGACGGTGGTCTTCCAACGGAGCACTCCCAGAGGTGAAAATAAATCTCTGTCGGGACCTACAAAGAGGAGAACGTGGAGAGAGGGTTTATTGCAAGATCGTTGGTGCGTCTTGTGTTCACACTGGTCCTCATCCTGTTGTTCCTGCTCCTGATGTACTCCTCTGCTCCTACTCCATTCCCTTTCCTTATAGACAACTCGTCCCTGTCGCACCCCGAGGCAAGTCGAAAGAGCGGGCTGGGCGTTTCGCCTGCGACTTCCTCACAACCGCTTCACACATGGAGGGCGGGCTGATTCCAAATTATAACTCTCGCTGTAGCGCCGCGCACATTCGCCGTAACAAATTGCAAGAGCTTCAAGGATTGAGGGCGGGTACTTTTTCTAAATGGGGCTCTCGCCTTAACGCCGCTTGCCTTCGTTCAAAGATTTGCCAGAGCTTTGCGGACTGAGGGCGGTTGGTTTTCAAATGTGACTCTCGCCTTAGCGCCGCACATTTTTGGTTTGAAACAAATGCAAGAGTTTCACGAATCAAAGGCGGGTCGTTCTCAAAATCTGGCTCTCGCCTTAGCGCCGCGCACATGCGGTTTGAATACGTAAATGCAACGAGTTTTGCGGATTGAGGGCGGGCCGCTTTCAAAATGTGGTTCTCGCCCCAGCGCTGCGCACATTCGTTTTAAACAATTGCAAGAATTTCACGGATTGAGGGCGGTTGGTTTTCAAAATGTGGTTATCGCTTTAGCGCCGCGCACATACGCTCTGAAAGTTTGCCAGAATTCTACGGATTGAAGGAAGCTCGTTTTCAAAATGTTGCTCTCGCCTTAGCGCCGCCCACATGTATTATAACAAGCTGTAACATGCTCACGGATTGAAGGCGGTTCGTTTTCAAAATGTGGCTCTCGCTTTCACGCCGTGCGCATTAATTTCAATCATTTGCACGAATTTCACTGGTTCCCATGGCTAACGTACCAAAAATGGTGTTTTGGAACCACTCCGGATTGTCACGGCGCAACAGTTACGTTGATACGCGATGTTAAAGTCCCAGGAACGGTGTTCTGGCACGATTCTGGATCGCCAAGACGTAACAGTCAGGTGAACTCATGGCGTTGAAGTCCTGAGAATGGTGTTATGACGCGCCTCAATATGTTCCACATCGTTGATGAATCCTGAGTTGACACTGGTCCTACTCCTCCTCCTCCTCCTCCTCCTCCTCCTCCTCTTCCTCCTCCTTCTCCTCCTTCCCGATTGATCTTCTACCCCGCCTCCGCTTCCCCCCCCTCCTCCCCTCGTCCTCCTCCCCTCCTCCTCCCTTCCCCTCCCCCACCCCTTCTCCTCCCCTCCTCCTCCTCCTCTTCCTCCTCCTCCTCCTCCTCCTCCTCCTCCTCCTCCTCCCTCCTCCTCCTCCTCCATCATCATCATCATCATCATCATCATCATCATCATCATCATCATCATCATCATCATCATCATCATCATCATCATCATCATCATCATCATCATCATCATCATCATTCATCATCATCTCATCATCATCATCATCATCATCATCATCATCATCATCATCATCATCATCATCATCATCATCATCATCATCATCATCATCATCATCCTCGTCCTTTTCCTCCTCCTCCTCCTCCTCCTCGTCCTCCTCGTCTTCCTCCTCCTCCTCCTCCTCCTCCCCTCCTCCTCTTCCTCCTCCTCCTCCTCCTCCTCCCTCCTCCTCCTCCTCCTCCTCCTCCTCCTCCTCCTCCTCCTCCTCCTCCTCCTCGTCCTCCTCGTCTTCCTCCTCCTCCTCCTCCTCCTCCTCCTCCTCCTCCTCCTCCTCCTCCTCCTCCTCCTCCTCTTCCCATTTTTTCCTGTATTTCCTTCTCTCTCTCTCTTTCTCTGGGCCCCGCCGCCCGCCCCCATAAGAGTGGGACCCCCCCGGCGATCAGCGCGATCGGCAAGAAGGAGCCCCGGTCGACGTCGCCGAGTGCGCTCAGGGCCCCGATGCAGGCGCATGGGAGGACGAAGCCGAGGCCTTCGGGCACCGGGAGCGGCGGGAGCGCGGGAGGGCGGGAGGAAAAGGAGGGCGGGCGGGACCGAGGGCGGGCTGGAGGGGGGGCGGGCGGGAGGTTCGAGGGAGGGAGTAGCAGAAGGAGGGAGGGAGGGAGGGGGGGAGGGGAGGCAGGGGGAGAGGGAGGGAGGGAGGAAGAGAAGGAGGGAGGGAAAGGAGGGAGGGCGGGGGGAGGAAAACAGAAGCGTTGATGCCCTTGGTGGCGACGCTCTCGGTGGCGAAGGGTCCTGGGAGATCGCCAACTCTGCAATAGAAGCTGGGGTCCTGAGTCGAGCTCCTGGAAAGGGGATTTCGACATGATCCCGCCGATCCCGCCAACGCCACGACGGCGGCGACGAAAACGACGGCGGCGACGAAAACAACGACGACGACAACGACGTTGCGTTGCGAAGGCGCCCTGCAGGGGCACCACCTAGGCCCGACGCCGCACACAGAAGTGCAAATACAAGCGGCAGCGGGAGTTATCTTACAGTCTTACGCCATTCAAGCCAGGCCTTCTGGCCATCACGCCAAGACAGCCCTTGAAAAGATTTCAGGAGCCAGTCCCCATAAAACTTATAAAGATCACGCTCCCAACGCCAGATCCCGACGGCTCTATGATGCAACTGTGAGCCTTGCAATCTCGTCGTGGAAGTCATCCGCGCTCTGTCTGGAAACGTAAATGATGATATGCTACTCTTTCGGGCGCAGAGAAAGCAAAAGACTGGATGTGCCCTGCCCATCCACGCTGCATCCTGCAGCGGGTCTGGGGCCAGGGCTCCATGTTCTATCTTAGGCGAACCTCCGACACTGTGGCCGCCGCTGCCACCATGTATTCGGCGGCGTTCTCACCGCGGGGAGGGCGAATCATTCGGCGCGACATAGTGTTATGGCACTTCGAGGTGCTATTCAGTGCGGAAGTTGTGATGTGTAAATTTCCTATACAATATATAATAGCGGGGTGAACACATCTGTCTAAGGTGCCCAACCGTTTCTGCACGCTGGTCTTCTGATTAGCGATGGTAGCCCTATGCACAACCCAGGTGCGACACGCGCGTTGGATCCTGTTGCGCACCTCGTGCGTGCAGCTACGGCCGAAAACCACAAAGGTGCCCAATACTTTAAGGCCTACGGATCGCTCTCTACACAGGACGATTGTCCTGCGGACGCGAAGCGTGCCGATATGTGACGGATACGCATGGCACCGCTCAATCTCGCCCACAGGAACCTCTAAACCTCGCTGCTTCAGAATCCTGAACCATTCCTCTGTCATCGCCATGGCCACCGAGACCGAACGGGCGAGCAGCCAGAAATTATCGGCGAAACTCAAAACACCTAAAATGACACCCCCCTCATCTGTGCAGGTCAAGCACGCCCCCCAGCCGCCCTGACGACGCCAGGTTTGAAACTCGCCAACGCGTTCGTCAAGGAAATTGTTCTTAAGTTCAGGGGCCTCAGGGTCACCTCGGATGAGGGATTCCTCGCGCCGCGTCGAATTTGCGAGGGCATCCCCAGGCCAGCGAGCACACGCGAACGACCTACGGGTTTCCCTGATCCAGGAACCAATCGCTACACGGGACACCCCGTGCCTGTTGCGACGTCTCGCAAGGGCAGGGGTGTCGAATCAAATCGTAAACCGTCCGAACGTCGCCCCCCGCGACAACTAAGGGGGGGTCTGTGTATTCACAGAACTTCTCGGCTAGGTGGCGCAAGCTATAGATCACCTCATGTGCCTGGTACGTCCTACGACAGGCAAGCTGTTGCTCACTGCGGTGATTCTCCATCACGTCACGCTGCGTCTCTAAGATCATCATGCCCAGCACTTTCTGGATGCAAGAAATCAGGGCGATCGGCCTAAACTGGGCGACATCACTGGCGCTTGACACCTGCGGAATCAGCTAGGTTACGCGGTGGCCCCAGGACGCGTCGAAGAACTCCGAAACGTAATTTTGTAGTCGCAGCCGAAACGGCCACTAGAGTTGTTCTAAGACATCGCCCTCTAAGGCCTGCAGAATTTCTCCAACAATCACGTCGCCTTCGTCGCGCGATTTACTGTTTTTCATGCGTCCGATGCAAATCTTGAACAGCGGGGGGCTGACAGGGACCTCCTGCTGCTGCTCCTCCACCGCCCACTGTCTGTGGATCCACTCGGGCAGGTCGTGATCGCTGGCCTCATCCCTGACGAGGCTGCTCTAGAACCTGTGGGCCTCCGCTCCGTTCGCGTCGCCAGCGGTGGCCTGGCCCTCGCTGGCGTCGGCCCTCGCTGGTGTCCAGGCTGAACGCGGGGCGCCGGCTCTTGATGGGCCTCTCCGCCTTCCCGCGATCGCACAGGCGCCCCAGATGGACTGCCGAACACCGCCCCCGCAAGGCGCGCTTCAGCTTGCACGCGGGCGGGCCCGGCAGGGGTCGGACTCGCTGGTCGTCCTCCTGGGCGCGCGTCCTCTCCAGGGCCTGGAGCTGCATCAGCTGCGGGTCGCCTGGCGGTGGCCTCCACCGCCGTCGGCGCGGGGCGCGGCCTGCGGCCGCGGCGGCGCTGCAGCCCACCGTCGCCAAGGCGCCCAGCGGCGCGACGCCCGCGCGGTCGCGGCAGGCGCCCGCGGGCGGCGGCTGGAAGTTTTAGCCCGCAGCTCGGCGCCGGCGCCCTCCCGCCGCAGGGCCTCCAAGCGACGCTTCCGAGCGCGGCGGCAGGCGCTGGAGTGGGCGTCGCAGATGCGGCGGTGCCCCCGAGCCCCCCAGTCGGTCGGCAGGCACGGGTGCTTCCAATGCAAGTGTGTCAGGCGGCTGTCGCTACCCATCTTGGCCAGACGGTCCGCCCTCTCGCTGCCGAAATTCCCATTGCGGCTCTTCGCCCATCCGATGATCAGCTCAAAGCGGGGCCGGCACTGCTGCCAAGTGGACGGCCAGCGCGGCAAGCTCGCAATTCTCCTTCGGCTGGAACACTTCCAGAAGCAGATTGCGAACGTAGGTCGAGTCCGTGGTCGCCAGGATGCGGGTGCGATCGCGGGCCCACGGCCCTGCCTACTGGCGCCGCCCAAGGAGCCACAGCAGCATCTCCACAGTGGCGGAGAGCTCGCCAGTGTTAGAGGAGATGCACCTGGCGCCCACGAAGCGCGCGTCGGTCGGCATGGTGGTAGCCTGACCGCAAGCCCCCAGCAGCGGCGCGCCCTGGCCGTTGGGCTCTGCGACGCGGTGGAGCGCGAAGCCCCAGCCAGCAGCAGAGCAGCGGTGACGAGACCCCCCACGTCCTCGGCGCGCGGAGCCAGCCGTCCGTGAAGATGCCCATGGCGCCGCTGCAATCGCCCTCCGTGTACATCTGCGCATCAGGCGGCGCGTGGCTGGTCTGGAGTGACGCGCAGCTCCTGCTGTTGAACTCGCGGCTGTCATCATCAAGTCGCCAGGCAACGGGCTTGCGTCGAAGTCGTGTCAATTCATCATCTGGTGCGATCTCCATCGCGCCCTCGATCGCTGGGATATCCTGACCAGCCTGGCAGCGCAACAGGACCGGCAGGCGGTCGCTCTCGGTGGCGTCGCTGAAGCGGGCCTGGCAGGCAATCTCGCGCAGCCAATCGCGATGGGCGAGCATGAAGTCCATCTGTTTCGGCTTTCGATTGTCAGAGAAACACGCGCGTGGTCTCCGCTGCCCCTTGAAAAAAGTGCTCGCGGCAATCAAATCGAACTCCGTCATCCAATCGAGCAACATCTCTCCTCGCCAGGTCATCTCTGAAGCTGAGAAAGGGCCGACTGCATCTCCGTCTGTAATCCCAAGACCAACCTGGGCGCCGATACTGGCAATGGCGCGGCAATCAACTGGCATGGAAATCGCACGCTCCCGCAGCTGCTCAATGGTCTCTGCGCTCTCACATCGTACAATATGCAAAAGTAGGTGACTCGTAATCACGCGAGCGCGGCCCCAGACGCCAAGCTGAAAGCCCAAGTGCATGGCGCGCCCGCGGCGCTGAGGCCCACCTACAACGGAAGGTCCAAGCGACTCATGAAATGCTATCGCGCACCGTTGCCAAGCCCCCGCTGGAGGCGCTACGTGCACGACATAGCCGTTATAGGACTGCTCCACGCCACCAGAAACGCACCATTCTTGAAAGAGGATAAGTTGTGGTGCGAATTCACTTGCAAGGGTATCGAGCACGAGTTGGCGCTGTCGAGCAAGGACACTTCTCGCATTCCACCCTAGAACTGTGAGGTCTCTGGTGCCCCTAGCAAAGCGCTTCCCACGCACTCGAAATCATTGCGCCATCGGTGGATCGTTGATCTCGACGAGCCTGTCCTGAAGCCTCATCTCCATCGGCTCCTGGTCCAAGAGGGCGAGCATGTGTCATCGGATCCTGGCAGATCTCGAGCAAGTCCGTGTTCGGTGCGCGCAGCAGCAGCCTGAGCGGGCGCTCCACGCGATTCTTGCGATACACCACCCGGCCCCTGTCCCAGCCCCCGTCGAAGGTGCGCATTTTGTTCTCCTCCGCGCATAACCCGTTGGCCACGCCAAATTCCCTGAGGATGCGCACCACAAAGCTCACCCTGCGGCGGATCTCCACCTCGTGGGGCTCCTGATCCATCTTGTGCCACAACATGTTGATGCGGGCGCCCTGGCAAGGGATCTTCTGCTCCTTCCTGCGTTTTATGAACGCCCACATCTTGCCGTCGCCCGCGAAGACCACTCTGGCCTGGTCGCAGAATTTGCCCACCGCATAAATCTCTGTGATGCCCTGGCTCTCCAGGGAAGAAGATTTAGCCAGCTCCGTCGTCAAGCGTCGCTCGACCTCCTCCTTGTCCCAGGTGCCTGGGAAGCCCGCCACGAAGACCGCATGCTTGGTGTTCTTGCCCAGCCGCTGCGGGCGACTGGCTGCTGGCGGCGGGCCTCCTGCGCCGCCCCGCTGCCGCCGCTGCTGCAGGCGCGCGCTCCAGGGGTCCGCCATCGAGGGAGCAGCGCCCAGTCCTGGACGGGAAGCAGCTGCGCCCGCCGCCGAGGAAGC